AACAGGAGAATCGCTACAAGTCCTGGATCTATGTAATGAGACCCTGAACACACTTGTAGACCCTGCCCTAAATACAGAAGAAAAAAAATAGCCAAAAGGCAGCAACAACCCAATTAATAGATGAATGGATAAATAAAATGTGCTCTGAAGTTACATACAATGGAATATTTTTCAGCCACAAAATGGAATGAAATCTCTTATGTGCTACAACATGGACAAACCTTGAAAATATGCTAAATAAAATAAGCCAGACACAAAAGGGAAATATTGTATGATTCCACTTACACAAGTACCTAGAGTAGGCAGATTCATAGAGATAGAGTACAGTAGAGTAACCAGGGCTGAGGTTAATGGGAATGAGGAGTTAGTGTTTCATCGGTACAGAGTTTCAGTATAGGAAGATGAAAAGGTTCTGGGAGATTAAAAAAAAATTATGTAAAGTAGTTTAGTGATGGTTATAAATAATATAAATGTGTACGGTGTCACTAAATTAAAATGGTTAAAATGGTAAATTTTGTTGTTTAAGAATAATGAAAAAAATGCTGTCTTCTCTCCAAAGAAAAGATAAATTGTTTTAACTCTTTCTTCCCCTGCTGATATATATCTTGTAAAATTTGATATAAAATATGTGAACTCTTTAATTTCACATTTCTATGTAGATGTTTGCTACTCACTACTTTCAATATTTGCATAATCTAACATGACATAGATAGTCCTTAATTGTTTAATATTAAGGTTGTTTCTAATTTTTCATTGTTATAAATAATGCAGCAATGAACATCTTTATAGATAAATATTTGCATAAATACGTTTCCTTAAGATAGATGTTTAGAAGGAAAATTCCTGAGTTAAAGGCTATGGATTTTTTAAAAATCTCTTTATACTGTCCAAACTGTATTATTAAAAATGTAGATGTTTATGTTTTAAACAGTGTCATAGATGGGGGAGGTATTATTATTATTATTTTTTTTTTGTACAGGGGAATTGAACTCAGGACCTTGTGCTTGCCAGGCAGGTGCTTAAGCCACTGAGCTATCTCCCAAGGTCCTGAGGTACAATTTTTGCTCACCCTTGTCATATATTAGAAATACCACATAAAATATTGTTATACAAAAGGCAATAGTTATATTTTATTTCTATAAATTAGTCACTAGTGATATTAAACACTTTTTGTATTTATTTATAGTTATGTATATTCTGTGAGTTATATGTTTTCTTCATCCAAGAGTTATACGTTTTCTTCACCCAAATTTCTATTGATATTTTAGCGTTGTACTTACATATTAATAATAGTGCCTATGTACCATTTTGAGGCCAATATATTTCTTTCTTTTTTTCTTCCTGTATTTTAGGGAAGGGTCTACAGGGTGTTCAGGGTCCCACTACTATCCTGTTTACAGCCTCCCAAGTGCTGGGATTACAGGTGCGTCACAACGCGCAGTCTCAGTTGTCTCAGCTTGCCCTGGGGGTGAGGCCGGCATGGCAGGCCGGGGATGCAATCCCTGGCCCCTGCACCTGCTTGCAGGCGCTTCAAACTGCCGAGCTATTTGGCCAGCCCTGAGGCAATTTATATTTCTAAGGTTGCTATTTCT